TATAAATATATATATAATATAATTATAATTTTTTCGAGTTCACCGGCTTAAATAAGGCGACAAATTAAATGGGTGTTGTAAAACTCCACTTAAGTCTTGTCCCAGAAACTAAGAAAAGTAAAAAAAAGTAAAGTAAATTTCCCTTTTTTCACGCCTTGGCCATCGGGATAGGGCAGAGCGACACTCTTTGGAAATGTGGTACTTTACCCCGGGTGTCTTTATTTTCCCCGGGAACCCCACCTGGTACCCATTTAGTGGGTCGCCTGCGACGCCCCCATACCAAAAAAAAATCCGCGCAGCCAGCAGTGGGTTCAAAAAATAAGTTGGGGAAAATATCCTTAAAAGATCTGGAGTATTTATTTTAAACTTTGGTTCCGGGCCCTTTTTGTCAGTGCCTTTCAGTTTCAGAGGTGCAAAATTGCACTCCTGGAGAAGCGGGGTTATTCTTGTTACCCCCCACAACGGGGCCCCGCAACAGAGACGGGGAATATATATATGTGTGTGTGTATACATATATTTTCTTAATACACAGTACCAGTGTTTTGTATATCCAAATTAACTATGCTAAATATCTTCCCTGGCATATTCATACTGAACTAAGTTAAGCTGAGTTAAAAACAAACATCTTAGCAATCGAGACATTTTCATAAGCGCTCCGTTCCCATATTCAGCAGCACTAACAGAGGGTTTCAATGGCACCGGTAGCGGTTGATTTATGTCCGTCTCGCCTTTCCTCCGAGTGCTGAGTGTCAGACAGATCCACTGGTCACACTCCGCAGCACAATTTTCTTCAGACCGTGATGACCTTTTTGTCTCCCCATACTGTTCATTGGCTCCAAAAGGGCCTGGGCCACATCTAGCTTGTCCTGCATCAGTTTATTGCCGATTGGTGCACAAGCCAATCTGTCTGCTCGTTTATTCCCAGACCACCCGCAATGCACTAGCAAAAATATCCGAATGAAGCTAACTATAAAAGATTTATGAAGCGATGCTTGCCACTCTGCATAAAGTATTGATGTCTCCACCTGACGTATTTATGTTGAACAATGAAACAAGTAATTTCCTTGTGGACTGTAACTGAAATATCTCATAGTTCAGACTGAATTCTGTTTAGAGATCTGTTTTTACAGCAGTCTTTTTGAAATGTCCCTCTACAACAAACCAGTAGCAAAGCTATCTCTGTTGCTGGCATGTATAAATCATCTCGTGATGGGTGGTCAAACCAAAAATTAGGGTCTTGTGTCCTGCACCTAGTGAGTACAGTCGAGTCTGGATAACTAGAAGTCGCAGGGACCTAAGAAAAAGCTTCCACTTATTAGGACTTCTACTTATCCAGACAGCACACACAATAGAAAAAATTGCCGGGACGAAGATGGTGGTCATGTGGACTTGACCGAAATTCGACTTTTCTGAGTTCGACTAAAGTGGACTCGACTGTATCATTGAGCAGCAAGGGTCATATGTAGACTATCTGTGTGGTGACGGGTCTACGACAAAAAATATGTAATGGTAATGTATGCGTGTACAAACACATGCAGACATGGCGTTGCGAGGATGACCATCATTATATTTAGAAGAAATAAAACACACACGCAAGTGGTATATAATAAAGCCCTTGTCATGAACGCTATAAATAAACAAATAGTGATTAGTGGTTAAAAGGATTATCATCACAGCACTCTGAACAGATCCATAGGTGTTCCGATCTCCTCCTCAACAGCTCCACAAGTGTAAAACGACTGATGACGGTTGTTCTGTGTTCTGGTCAATGAAACGTCTTGTCCCCTTAGTGAAATGTTCATTTCTTGCAGCTTCAGGCTGCACCCCCATGTCCATCAGTCTAGACAGGGATATGGAGTCATGTCTTTTGGCGTGCTCCTCGGTACGGTAAGTGCAGCGCATGGCATTGATAACATGACTTCTGTCCGGTACTGGGCCAGCCATAGCAACTGCAGTGACGGCAAGATAGTCTGAACACTCGTTCCCTTGAACACCAGCATGACCTGGCACAAAGAAGAAGGTTAGGGCAGATATTCATGAAGTGCTTAGTGTTCAATCCATTCTTGCCTGATAAATCCAGCTTGGATTTTTTTAAGCATATTCATCGAGTCACTAAGAAAGCATACGTGTGTGAACTTTTGAGTATAAAGCCACGCTAAAGCCCTCGTTACAGCCATAGTTTCCTTTACATAAACAGATCCTGCCAGCGATGTTGAGAAGGAATCACTCACCTGTAGGTGGACGGGTAGCAGCGATGTTGAGAAGGAATCACTCACCTGTAGGTGGACGGGTAGCAGCGATGTTGAGAAGGAATCACTCACCTGTAGGTGGACGGGTAGCAGCGATGTTAAGAAGGAATCACTCACCTGTAGGTGGACGGGTAGCAGCGATGTTGAGAAGGAATCACTCACCTGTAGGTGGACGGGTAGCAGCGATGTTGAGAAGGAATCACTCACCTGTAGGTGGACGGGTAGCGGTAATCGTTGGCCTCCGTTTTCGTAATGTCCCATTCGCCGCTTCCCCCCCCCCCCCCCCCCCCCCCCCCCCCTCTCTTGTCTCCCCCCCCCTCTCCCCCTCCCCCCAAGAGGGCGTCCAGGTTGATGACGTCCAGTTCCGGGGCTACAGTCAGGGTTCTGTGGGAAATAAAGGCGGCATCTTCTTGGTTTGATATACCTAGTACATCAAATTTTGCTTACATATACAGTACAGGAAATATATTTGTATATGCTCAGCAGTAGTACAGTACATTAAACATCTGTGTACCTATTCAACAGTGGTACAATAATCAAACTCTCTATCCGTCTAACAGTAGCTACAAAACATCATTCAACAGCTGATAGATCATACAGTGGCTACAATAGAATCCGAATAAATGAGGAAATCTCCGCAACATAAAATTTATATCATATACAATCTAAAACACTTAAAATACTACAGCCATTTAGGTATATTAAACATTTTCTTACATGTTGTAAGGGTTGTTTTATAAAACACTGCCTGCCACGTTGAAGTGACCAGTGCACTCTACTAGTCAACAAGACGCCAGCAAGAACCAAACTTACGAGCTGAAGAGTTTCTGGAAGAACTGAAACACAGCCGACGTTTTTGGGGAAGCAAAGTCAGAAAACATGTGTCATGTAAAGGCGACATGAATCTGATTTTCCTCACATTCAAATTTCGTTCAAATGTAGGCACGGTAATTTCCGGGCGCGAGATGTTTTCCTGCTGTAGTACACACACAGTCAAATTGATGAAGAACCGAGTAATGGCTCTTAGATGCGTGTCCATACTGGGGACAAGAGCTTCACTTGAAGACAATGACTTTTAATCGCCGGTGTAACGGATTTCTTTGTACCGTAAATAAATCATCGAGTAGACATTTGAGGTTTAAAGTTTGAGGTTTAAACAACGGATCAACATCATGGAAAGTCATTCTCTTCACTACTTAACCAACAATGTACACCTGAAGAGCTATCTTTCGATCTCTGTGACTCCGAATTATTGACACTCAATGTGTCAACATCCATCCCGAACCTGGTAAACAAAGATCCTGAGCCCGCTTTAGTGAAGAAAGCACTCACAATGGAACACCTCAACAACATGTTCCCACAGGACAGCTGGACGAGAATCTACACGGATGGATCAGCAAAAGAGGCAACTACGAATGGTAGTGTTTACATAAAACACCCAGATGCCGCTACTGTATCCCTAGCAGCCCCCACCGGACGAACTTGCTCTATCTACAAGGCAGAACTCTCAGCCCTTTTGATGGCAGCACAGTATATGAACAATCTGCAAATTACCGCAGGCAGGATGGTTTTTCTCACTGACTCACTGTCAGCTATACAGGCCCTTGAGTCCAAACCTACCGACAGCACACTACAAAGTCTAACACAGGAACTTGCTATGCTGTCAAATAAGGCAGAAATTCACTTGCAGTGGATTCCGTCTCACTGTGGCATCAAAGGCAATGAAAGCGCAGATGCTTTAGCCAAGGAAGGCAGTAACAAACCACAGACCTACCAGCCACTATCTTTTCCAGAAGTCAAAACTCTGCATTAGAGGAAAATCAGAAACAGATTGGAAAAAACAACACTGGTTATAACTACTGAAAAGACTTTCTGAAACACTTGAACAGAACAGACCAAGTCACAGTTTTTCGCTTACGCACCTGGACACTGCAGACTCAATAAAACACTCACCATAAATTAGGTATGAGCAAAACAGCTCTCTGCCAGTGCCTTCCTTCGTGCTGAACAGACTCCAGAACATGTCCTGTAAGACTGTCCTCTCCTGGCGAGCTACGGGAGCGACATATGGCAACACCCAGTAGAACTGACAACTAAGCTTTGGGGAAACCTAAGAGACCTTGAAAAGACATCCCAGTTTATGACCCACAGTGGATTATGCGCATGACCAGAGATCGCTGAAGAAGAAGAAACAACGGATCAACATCATGGCACACGAGTAGTAATTTATAAGTGCTCCATTCTTCTTTTAACTCAAGTCTGAGTCCGAAGAAGCTCAGCACAGTGCACAGGCTCGGTTGCACCGGCGAGTATCCTGAAATACTTTGGATAGATTTTCAACTCCAAATGTTGCCAGCGCTACTCTTTTCGATTTCCAGATGCCAAGGTTTTGTGTGTGTGTTTGTGTGTGTGTGTGTGTGTGTGTGTGTGTGTGTGTGTGTGTGTGTGTGTGTGTGTGTGTGTGTGTGTGTGTGCACAACAATGCACACGGGCGTCCGATCTCACTACCCAGAGACAAGGGGTAATTACTAGAAGTCCAAGTCCAGGTAAAAAAAAAAAAAAAACCAGCCTTTACTGGGGATTAAACCCGGAACCTCTAGCACTCGAGGCGGACACAATGCCTCAAGACCAGGCAGCCAACCTAAGAGGACATTGATTTTGTCTTTTTATAGTCTTCTTCTTAATATATTTCATGCCCTGTGGCATAGTTAGTCATCTCCATCCACAACCGTCTGTTTCGTGTACTTTCAGTAAATTCTAACACAGATGACACGAAGACACATGCCACAATGCCCAGCTTCTCCTCATCTCTCTCGGTCTTCCTCTGCCTCATTTAACCTCCAACTTTCCCAGCGCCACGATGTACTCCAGTTCTCTCCTGCAGATGACATGAAGACATATGCCCCACTGCACAGCATCTCCTCATTCTCTCTCTCTCTCTCTCTCGGTCTCCCTCTGCCTCATTTAACCTCCAACTTTCCCAGCGCCACGATGTACTCCAGTTCTCTCCTGCAGATGACATGAACAAAGAATGTCGACTGGCTCCGTCTGATGTTGGCAATCCGTTCTCTTCGTGAGTAGATTCTGGTAAAGTGTTAAATTTTAATGCTGTGCCGTCTTCACAAAGAAGGTTGACTACAATGCGCCCATTGTTGTCTTTGGGAATTTTATACGGTGAGGCCTCCATCTCTCCCACAGTGCGACTCTCGTACCACTATGCGATAACCACTGGAATGGACATCTTTTTTACCGCAGCTGAAAACTAATTTAGGACTCGAGGATCCTCCTGTGTGGGTTTAATCTCACCATTATGGGGGTGTGGGGGTGAGGTGGGGGGGGGGGGGTGTGGGGAATAGAAGATCCACTGCCCCCTCCCCCCACTTCTAAGAAGGCGAATAATAAGGGGGATGCCTTAGTATCAGAGTGAATATGTCTGAGAAGCGAGGAGCCAAGAATTTGCGGACTGATACGCCAGATTTTAAAAAGGGATGAGCAAGTCTGGAAACAAGACCAAAGTCCAGAAGTGGACGAACAAAAAAGTAAACTACTCGCTGGGGTTTACAGCCAGTGAACGATAAGAAGAAGACTTGAGGATCGTGAAAGTGTTATGCGCATTCACTAACCTCTCAATCACAGAGCTACATGTACCTAAAGGAAAGAAATTCAGATGAGAAACACAGGATGGCCATGCAACTCAGTGTCTCACTGACAGAACAAATGTACTGTGGTACCTCGGTGTACGACTTAATCGGTTTAGGATCCTTGGACGTATACCAAACAGTACTATACCAAACAGGACGTATACCAGACAAGACGTATACCAAACAAGACGTATTCCAAACAGGACGTATACCAAACAGGACGTATACCAGACAAGACGTATACCAAACAAGACGTATACCAAACAGGACGTATACCAAACAAGACGTATACCAAACTGGATGTATACCAAACCGGTCTATTTCAAACAGGACGTATACCAAACCAGATGTATACCAAACAAAACTTACAAAAAACATGACGTATACTAAACAGGACGCATACCAAACGAATTTTCCCATAACAAAAAAGGGGAGGGGGAGAACGATTAATTTGTACACATTTAAACAAAAATCATGCTGTCATATCATACGTTGACGGGGTTGTAAAAAAAATAATTTATCTCCCGCTAATACAAAAATACATCAATGCAAAAGCAATTTGATGAAATAAATTAAATGTAACCGTCACTCGGGACGGCAGGATGGTTGGAGTGGAGGAGATGCAGAGGGAGACCGAGAGAACAGATGCTGGACAGTTTGACATCATGGCATGGAAAATCATCTGTGTCAGAGTTAATTGAAAGTACACAAGACAGAAGGCTGTGGATAGACATGACTACCAACGCCACACGGAGTGGACTTTAAGAAGTAAAAGAACCTCACTTTATCTTGCTAAGAAGAGCGAGTGCCTACTAGGATGGTACTGAGCAGTGAGGATGGAGGGGAAAAAGGGGGGGGGGGGGGGCTTAGATGTTATTGTTTGGAAGGAGAGTTCCATTCCAAAAAAAAAATTTCACGAAACCCCCCCCCCCCTTTTTTTTTTTTTAAATTTTTTTTCTACCTGGCTCTAGTTGAGGCTCATCAATTTTGACTTTTACTAAAAATCTGCCCAAAGAACTTTACTTCTGCCTTCACTTCGGGATGTTCTCGAAGTGTGGCATTTTCTGGTCATTCGAGACAATGCTACTGCAGCCTACGTGGGTTTTGTTGGGATGATACTTCCCTGCAACGTCACTGACATCTATCCGTGGTTTGTGTCGAGTTAGAGAGAGAGGGAGAGAGAGAGAGAGAGAGAGAGAGAGAGAGAGAGAGAGAGAGAGAGAGAGAGAGAGAGAGAGAGAGAGAGAGAGAGAGAGTGAGAGAGAGAGGTAGACAAGGACAGCGCGTGAGGTCGTGACTCATTTCGACTTATACGAGCTGGTATTTCAAACAAAGCTCGTATGGCTGCCAAAAGTTTTCGCGTCTAAACAGACAGGTCGTATACCAAGTTGAACTATACCAAAGCGAACGTATACCGAGGTACCACAATACTTGTAAGTGAAGCTAACTTTCTAATTATTCAGATCTTTACCTAACATGCTCATCATTATCGTATGGTGGGATAGATGGCATTTGGTTCGACTTCCGATCAAAATGGAAGCTAGGCTGGGGCACTGTTTAGAGCCGAGGTCTATTTTTTGCTTCTGCCGGACGTTGGCTCCATTTGTAGACTGGATATAGTTTCGTCGCCCAGCTTCTAAGCTGAATGCATGGCGTGACACTGTGAGCTGAGGATTTCATTTGGAATGTTTTTTCGACTGTGACCAACGTGGTGGTGTGAACTGTAGATTCAGAAAATGACGC